TTAGGAATAAATTGTTTATTATGAACTAAAAAAACATCATCCGTAAACAAATTTAGTTTAGGTATAATGATTTTCTAGTGATAAAGAAAAAATCACCAAAATGTCAAAATTGAGTACTTTTGGTATTAAAATAGATCATAACTCAAAAATGAAAGGTGATGGTGAAAAGTTTATTTGAAATAAATTGTTTATTATGAACTAAAAAAACATCATCCATAAGCAAATTTAGTTTAGGTATAACGATTTTCTAGTGATAAAGAAAAAATCACCAAAATGTTAAAATTGAGTACTTTTGGTATTAAAATAGATCATAACTCAAAAATTAAAGGTGATGGAGAAAAGTATACTTCAAATAAATTGTTTATTATGAACTAAAAGGACATTACTCATAAACAGATTTGGTTTAGTTATAATGATTTTCAATCATTATCATTATTAATCAACCCTATGAAATGCCTTAATTGACTTCAATTTGCTACCAATTAATACCTTTGGTACACTTATAACGTATACCAAATTTGGTTTTTCTAGCTTAATGTATTACCAAGATATTGAACTTTTTAAAAATTTAAGAGCCAACTCTGAAGGCCTATAACTCCTGAGGTGTACAACTTAGTATAGAGGTAAGTTACGTTAAATCATCTTAATTTATTGTCCTCTACATGTCCCTGCTCTGTGTCGGTTCTTATATGAATCACCCTGTATATGGCAACATTTGCAACCTTAATAACAAAAAAAAAATTTAATTTTCAATTACATCCCACAACAAAAATAGATAAAACCTGAGGTGGATCACTGGTACTAGCCAATCCGTCCATCTGTCCATGAATCGTCTATATTTAATGAATGCCTACATTTCAAATTTCCCTTCCAGATCGAACACTTACACGTTTTCCTAGTATACAGGGGTCCGGAAACGACGTGTACAACGCAAGACCACAAGTAGTTAATGTTCTTGGAAAAAATTGACAATGAATTAATGCCAAAAACAATTTGTCATACTATAAACTATTACCAACTATTACCATTGATGGTGGTATTATTCACCGTAAGGTTGTTGTATATTTTTATTGAATTTAAAGTAGAACTAACACTAGACCTAGAACTATAATCATTCGGGTTTAGCCGTACAGGGTGGTTCAAATTCGATGTCCGAATAGGCTAACTCGGAAACGATAAGAGTTAGAAAAAAAGTAGCTTACATGTCATGATCTCGTTTTTCGAGAAACTGCTAATGCCGAAAACCTCATAGCGCTACCGTCTTTTGTTTTTCATCTAGACGCCAAAATTGAAAATATCGTAAAACCAATAAGTGCAATTATCTTGGTTATTATTATAGGTGGAGTATTATAACTACGACCATTGATTATACTAATACTCCAGATTGCTAACCATATGTATAAAATCGGCAACTGTATATGTTGGGTTGCATCACGCACTGTTTATTCTCAAAAAGAGACTAAATGTAGATAAGTGAGATAGAGTCATAATAAGAAAAGAGACGATCAATTAGCCCCGACCTCAAAGGACGTCACCTATATATATATATACACTGTATCTAAATGACATCAAAGAACTAGCATCTGAAAAAGTTTTCTTCATCTCTCTCATTATCCGAGGAATAAAATGCTTTCACTTTGCTCAAGGGTTTAATGTTTAAGGGTCGATAGCTAACAATTAATACATAAAGTTCATTGGTGTTACTTAGATACAATCGTTACTATTTAAAATTCTCCTTAGAAAGAATCTTAAAAACGCACCAAAATGAAGTAGGACTAATAAACATTTTACTGAAGGAAATAATAACAATCTTTAAATGTGGAAATGTCTTTTAGTGTATCTTGTTTAGTGATTTGATGGCGTGAATTGGCGCACGCATCTATTAAAGAAAAAAAAATTAAATAAAATAAAAGTTATGTAAAGCAAACGC